TCAACCTTCTTTTCTCTCCTTGTCAGCCTTATTTTCTCACTGTGGCAATATCCAAAACCAGGGCCAGAATACCCATGTCTTAAGTTTCATGAACAAAGAGGATTCAAAGAATCTCCAGGTGGCTCAGATTGGTGGCCAGAGGAATGGTTAGCCCGGCTTGCACGAAAACTTCACCTCTAAACTAGCCATGTGGCTGCGTGGCAGACTCACATGAGAAGACATCTGCCTCATGTGCATGGCAGGAATGGAGAGAAGATCTTCAGAAGAGGAGGATTGTTTTCTGTACTGGGGACTGACCCCAAGGCCTTTGTACCAAGCTACATTCCCCAGCCCTTTTTATTTTTTACTTTAAGACAGGGTCTTGCTACATCATTAAGTTGCTCAGGCCGGGCTCAAACTTACAATCTTCCTGCCTCTGCCTCCCAGAGCACTGGGATTACAGGTATGTGTCACCATGTCCAGCTAAAGAGGAGGATTTTAACTTAAAAATCTACCTACCTAATGGGCAGAGAAGTCAGTGAATTCCCCCTTCAGGTATCATGTTTAAACACCCCACACCATGCCCCAATGTGTATAAGGAGTCACACCTCTTTTTTTTAATTTAAGGTTTTATTTGAATTTTTAATTTTTTTTTTTTTGGTACTGGGGATAGAACTTGGGTACTTGCGCTTGCGAGGCAGGCAGCGGAATTACTGAGCTAAATCCCCAGCCCCTATTTGAATTTTTTAGAAGAGCTAAACATGACAAAATGTTGTATTTATTTGTTCCAACGGTAGATTGTGACGTGTTTATTATCATTGTGTTTTCTACATTGTAATTTTTCTTCAGTTTTAAAGAAGGAAATACAACAGGAGAAAAGATCCTATTCAAAATAATAAAAATGGCCGGGGATCTAACTCAGTGGTTGCACTGCCTATGGCACAAGCGCAAGGACCCAAGTTCAATACCCGGTACAAATAATAATAATAATAATAATAATAATAATAATAATAATAATAAATGCCCCAACCAATGTGTGATGCTTATTTAAAGAAAATTAAAGAGGAAGTGAGGGCTCTGAAATGGAAGGAGAAGCACCATATTCCTGGACTGGAAGATAAACTATTTAAAGCTATCAATTCAGTCAAGAACAGATTTCAGGTAATTTCAATTCTAATCAGCACTTCCCTGGGACTTATTTGAGGAAGCAGAGAACAATATCCTGTTTTTCCTTTGTGCCAGAGCTTCTCAAACATGAACATAGACAGGAAGAATCTAGAGATCTGTGACAATGTACATTCTGATCCAGTGTGTCTCCGGAGGAGCCTGCGCCTGCATTTCTAACAAGCTTCCAGGGTGCCAAGGCTGCTGGACCAAGGATTACACTTGAGTAGCGCAGATCACAGTCTGAAGGCATTGATGCTGCAGAAATGGAAAAGATAACTGTGTGTTTCAGAACCTGGAAATAAAAACAGGTATCTTCCAAGCAAAGGATTTCCTTCTAATGGAAAATCTGGAAGGTCCTCTATGGTCATCTTCTAGAAAGCCACCTGGTCCGGGTCCTCTCCTCTTCCTCCTATTGTTCATGTGGCTTTATCTTTTACACATAAAATATTAATCTACCTGGAATTTATTTCAATGTAAGTATAAAGCATGCATCTAGTTTTTCTGCCTTGCCGATTTGCAGCCGAGACCTGCAGCATTGTGCTTTTTTTTGGTCCCGGGGATCAAACTCGGGTCCTTGCGCTTGCGTAGCCGGAGGTGAAACCACTGAGTTAAATCCCCAACCCTGATTGTGCATATTTTTGTCCTTATTTGTATGATATATTTATGTACTTGTGTGTATTTACTAACAGTTCCTTGTTCTTCTATCTGTTTTCCCTATTATTTTATAGAAGGAATTCTATTGTTTTTACATCACTAGCAGTTATTTTACAATTCAAACTTTAAATTACAGATTGCAACTGTGGGTGGGCCTGTAATTGGACTAGGAGAGAATTAACAACACTCAGTGGCAGACACAGAGACTAAGGGGACTTTATGGAAAAGGGCCAGTCACATCATTTGTATAGGGAACACCTGCAGCATCATAAGGGAAAGTGTTATGGTCTAGATCTAGAATGTCCTGCAATCACCTCCTACGTTCAGAGGTAGGGCTTTCAGAAGGTGATTGGATCATGTTGGTTCTATACTCATCAGTGGATCCATGCATTTATGCATTCATAGCTGAATGTGTTGCTAAGAGAAGGGGCTTGTTTGAGGGGGTGGGTCACTGGGGAAATAACCTGAAAGGGTATATCCTTGTCCCTGCCTTTTCCTTATTCTTCCTCTTTCTGCTTCCTGGCTGCCATGGGGTGAGCAGCTGCCCTCTACCATGCCCTTCCACCATGTTATTTCTGCTTTGGAGCCAGTTAACCATGAACTGAACCCACTGAAACTATGAGGCAAATAAGCCTCTATTCTTTTAAGTTGTAGGTGTCAGGTATTATCTCTCAGGAATGACTGAAAATAACTAATACAGGAAGCATAATGCTGTGTTATTACCATGTGGAGCATAGATCCAGATGAAAGGGTGAGAATGGATGGTGAGAAGCCACCATGATAGACTTTGCTGGTCATTATCTGCTTTTGGTTCTCAGCTCACTTTCCTCCTTTTGGATTGGTTCTGTGTTGAAGAAGTCTGAGACTTTGCACATTATACTTTCCAGACTTCTTCACCAATGAGATGCCTGTGTTACTGTGCAGGGGTGACAGCTGGTGTCAAGTCAATGGTTGTGGCTGCAGCAGCAGTAGTAGTGGCTAAGGGCTTATAAATTTATAGGTGTCTGGGACCTCGGAACTGAACATATAACATGCAGGCATGGATTCAAACTCTGGCAGCAGGATATATCTTAACAAAGATATCTATGTCCTAATCCCAAAACTTTTGAATATGTTACTTTCCCTAGCTAAAAAAAAAAAGAAACAATTTTGCAGATTTAGTCAAAGATCCTGAGATGGGGGATAATCTTGGATCTTCTTCATGGGCTCAATGTTTTTACTTTATTTTTACTTATTTATTTATTTATTTATTTATTTTGGGTACCAGGGATCGAACTCTGGTCCTTCCACTTGTGAGGCAGGTGGCGGAAACACTGAGCTAAATCCCCGGCCCCTCATGGGCTCAATGTAATCACAAGGGTCCTTATTAGAAGGAGGCAGGAGATTTGGTCAGAGGGTGGATTTCAGATGTTGTGTGATTTTGTTCAAGGCCATCATCAATTCCACAGTGCTGAAGTCCACAAAAATTGTTGGGAGGTTTTATTCTAGTCCAAGGTGCAATGCTAAGAATTAAGAACAACCAGCTACATCTGTCAATATCTGGGGACAGTTTCTTCCCTGAGGACCTAGTGAGCTCACCTGCAGGCTACACAGAGAATTTTTTCATGCAACCTGAAAAAAGAGTTCATTCTGGGAAAGAGAAGGAATTATGACTGACCTCCCATAATGTAAGGGAAGATCAACACTCAGCTTGCAGGCAACAATAGCCCGAAGAGTGGTTGTCTGCCTCAGCGATTGCCTGTGCTCAACAGATGAGCAGCTCACCAAAGCCCCATCTAAACCCAGGAAACAACTGAATTTATTCCATCCATTGGCTTCCTGGTTCCTATGGGCATTTAGGGGTTGAGGTGGGGAGGACTGACAAACTTAAAAAGAGATTAACATTCAGTAGAATAAAAGCTCTAAGAAATTGTTAGGATGTGAAGGAGAATCTGGAGGAAGCAGAGGGCTGCAGTGGGTGGGGATGAGGGAATAAGCACTAGAAAGCTGGCCAAGAATATATTCCCTATGGTGGAGATGGCTGAAAATTTTGTAGTTGTTGAATATTCACCTTGAGGTTGAATCCTGTTTTGTGCCATTATAATCTTCCTCACTTATTCAGACAGCAAGGATAAAATCTAATGTGCACAACAAACTTATATTATTGGATCTTTTGGTAAAATGAAGAAGAGGCTGTTTCAAGCCAGGGGACACAAAGAAGATAGCAGACGGCAACAAGAGGAGAAGCATCTTCATCACACTCGATCTCTCAGATTTTGAACAATGTGTAAAATAACAAAAGTATATACTTATATGTGAAAACACATAGGGAAAGGATAAATTTAAGCCATTGTAGTTGTGTTACAGGGAAGGAATTACAGGTGATTATGTGCCTTCATTTTGCAAATCTCCTTCAATGGTACTGTAATTGGATTTTAGTTTTGTAGTATTTTTTATAAAGTTATCTCCCCAAGCAGTGGCAGTCATGCAACAAAGCAATTCAGTTTAATCTCTCCCACAAACTTGTCTTGGAATGTAGAGTCACAACCATTGAAGTCTGCGGTCACCCTTGCACAAGGTGGACCCCTATTCCTGCTTTAGCTTGCAAGGCAAAAGTGAGGTCCATGATTGCTGTAGGTTGGGAAAGCACCCTGAAGGCAAAAGTGTATGTGATCAATCTGAAAACTTTTTAAATTGCTATCATAGCATATGCCACAGAACAAAGGACAGAACCTTATAACTAGCTTGTTTGTGGAAAGATGTGCTTTGTCCACAAGCCAAGTATTTGAAAATACCACCCACTCAATTGGCATCTTTCTGCAGGGCCCTGGGAGAAGCTCCCCAGGGCAGGTTTGAGAAACCAGCCACCCATGGTTTCACTTTGATCTTTGTCTGTCTACACCCTTGCTTCAGCTCCTCTGCCACAGACATATAATTCTAAGTATTATTGCTTGGTAATAACCATAATTACTAAATGGATTCCCTATGACGGAAAAGAGGAGAAATTGAATTCTCACATGGACTCGTTTCTGAGCTGGAGAATCTGTTTGTATCAGGAACAGCATGAACTCCCCTCTCGTCGGTCCCCGAATTAACCGGGAGCGAACAAGCCAAGGACGGCTACTTCCCTGGTGAAGGACTGACACCCTCAAGCAAAGGCTGAATCCAGAGATTCGGTAACTAAGATGCAAAGTCCTCCTGTTCTCCTAGAGAGTACCCGGAAGCGCAGCGCGGTCCCGGAAGGCGAGGTGCTGACATATTTCCGGCCTTTGTGACTCATTGTGTCTGTGTCGAGGCGTCGGGTTGGCCTAGGTCCGATTGCGGTGCCCTTCGGCCGGCCTGAGCCCTAGAGTCAGCTCCCTTTTCTCGCCCAGCATCCCCAGGCCGCTCCCGGGGCTCACGGTGAGACTTGGGGCTGGCCTCAGGGAAGGGCGGGCGGGCCGGCCGCAGGGGTGTGTGTGAGGGTGGGCTCTGCAGCTGCGGCCCCGGCGGAGTGCGAAGAGAGTCCTTGCCCTTCCCTACCCCAAGGCCTGGCAGTAGTGTCTCCCGGGGAGAACCCTCCTCACGCCTATCCCCGGGTCCAGGCGGGGAGGAGGCGAGGGTCTCAGTGGACCCCCGGTGCTCGAAGAGGTGGGGAGAAACCGTTTGCTGCCCCTTCCGGCTTCATCACCTGCAGTGTTGTCGTCATTTGACGTTGCTGAGAATGGGGTCGCTAGCGAACTGACCCTTGTCTGCTTTTTCTGCTCTCCCGTCGTCGCCATTTGCTTTGATTCCGGTGAGAGGTGTTTTTTATCCGCTCCCCCCTCTCCCGGTCCTTGATAAGCTCTAGGTTAAAAATGCGGAAGGCGAGAGATGGACACGTTTTGGGGTGTCAAATCCGCCTGTTCCAGATCACTAGCTTTTCCTCCCTCCAACACTGATCTATGACTAGAGAGAATTTGAAGCCTTGTCATAGTGCCTAAAGATCTGGTAGAGTTTATAGGCACTCCTCTCTTAGTTTTATAGAAGGTTTTGAAAGCTTTTAAAAATAAGCCGTCCAAGGGCCGGGGATTTAGCTCAGTGGTTCTGCCTCCTGCCTTGCCAAGCACAAGGTCCCGAGTTCGATCTCCGGGACCAATAAAAATAAAAATAAGCTGTCCGGGAGATTAGTTGGATTTTTTTCATTCCACCTTGCTTAACTTGGCGTGACCATTAAGAGACGGATTAGCAAAGTAACCTCAGATAAGACAGCAACTCTTAATTTTGTCATCTATAAAAGTAACATTTCCTCAGAAGGCCCTTTCAACTTTGAAATGATTTGATTTGGTCAACATAATTGAAAAAAATCAGCTACAGTTGATCCTGACACTACCCCCTCCCTTTCCTGCAGTGCCTCCAGTACACAAAAAGATACTTTTATTATAGAGAGTGGCTGTTATATGGCCTGGGACCAAAGAAAGCATTGGCCAGTGCTAGGCAGATTGGAGGCGGTCAATAAATACTTGTTGAATTGTGGAAAATTCATTGTAACCACATCAGCAAAGCACTGTTACTATATATGCGGGCCGAATGAGGAAAATAATCTTACTAGATAAGGAACCGTAAGGTTTGCCCTAGAATGTTTCTCCAGATTTGTATCCTCCCTGAATTACTAGACAAATAAAAATTCTTGTTTATTATTTCAGTCAATTTTTAGCAATCTTAATATATGAACAGGGCAGCCAACTACTTAATACCATCACCTTTTGCTGATTCTCTAATTGGTTGAAGCACGTAAACATTTTTTCCAGTGTGTTATATTGTATCTTAATACAAATAGATTAATAATGGCAATAACCTTTTCATTCTGTGGTAGTGATATTCTTCAGGTAGCTAGCTGTGTTTTAAGTATAACTTTTTTATTTTTAAAAACATGGAGGTGGAGCAGCAATTTATTTAAACTATCAAGACTATGCCCTGAAAAAGATACTGGGCCATCAAGAAAACCTTTGAAGTAAACTGAGCTTGTACGACAAAAAAATCGTTTATTTTCATCCTTGGTATGAACTGTTTGCTGCTAAAGTGGATGGTATGTTCATTTTGAAGAGACCCCAAAAGTAGTTTTTTATTTGTGTTTTTCCATCCTTGGTCTTCCTCTATTTGATAAAGATCCTGATTGACAGACAAGTTAAATAATTCACGTAGGAATGTGTAATTTATTTGTGGGAGATTACAATTCACTGTTCCAGCCTATGCTACTTTCACTATTAGGGATTTCTTCCACTGTTAATCTTTGATGTGTACTGAAAGAATATAGTTAGATCGCTAGTTTATTTTAAAAATTGAAACTTCTCCAGCACCTACTAGATGGCAGACACTGTTTTAAGTGCTTTATATATATGTTAACTCAATCCTTACAACAACTCTATGGGGCAAATACTGTTTTTGCATTCCCTTTATACAAATGAGGAAATTGATGGCATAGAGAAGTTAACTTGCCTAAGGTCAACAACTAGTACGTAGTGGAACAGCTTTAATGCTAAAGGAAACTATTCCAAGTATCCCTTAGAACAAATTTGAGGGCAAGATGGAACGCAAAATAAATGGGAAAAAATAGTACCATTGTAAATTTAGTCAAGTACTTTTTTAAAAAAAAAACTAATGCTTGTAAGGAATCTTGGTAAGTGGCCTAAGCATACTGAAGCATACCCTTAACAATAGTCTAGTTGAGGGAGAAGGCAAGAAAAATCAAATTACAGAGAACCAGCTTAAGAAATTACATGGCAAATGTTTGGTACAGAATTAGGGCCTTTCGAGACAAAAGAGAAGATTGTATATTCAAATCATCTAGGGACCCTGAAATAAAACCCAGCCTTTCTACTGTTGTTGAGACTTTGGCTCAGAGTAGGAGCAGGGAAATGCTGAGGTCAGAGAAGAGGACCTGTCCCAATTAGGGACAGAGGGAATGTTGTACAATACCCTTGTCTCTGTTCCTGTGGTCTCATTTTTTCCTCAGAGTCTCTTTATGTTGATGTCCACTGACCCCAGGAGTGTCCTGTCCCATAGCTGGTAGAATATAAAACTTGCACAAAAGCAGAGATTTCTCATGACTGGGCTGGCCACCACACTAGTTCTCAGTTTCGCTGTTTAAAAGTCCCACCTGGTTAGGTTGTAGACAGTTTCCACTTGGGTCTCCTGTGACTCCCTTTCCCAGGAATGCCTTTGGTCACACAGTGCCATGGGTGAACACAGTGGGTGGTAGATGAGGTCCATTCCTGAGTAATCATGCTTAGTCCCCTTCATTTTAGAAAGAATTGTACCCAGAATCTCTTCTTTACCTCGTATATATAATGGTGTAAGAGCTTGCTTGGAGGAGTCACAGACTTAATTTCAAATCCTGACTATTTACTTGCTCTGTGACCTCAGGTGAGTTATTTAATGTTAGTAAACCTCAATTTATCATTATAAAGTGAGATGGTAATTGTAGCTATCACCTAAGATTGTTGTGTGGTCAAGTGAAATCCTTAATGTAAGCCTAGTACCTAGAAAACACCTAACAAATGTTGGCTCTGTTATACCTACCATAGTGTTCTTGAACATTGATTTGAGGGAAGTGTCTTTAGCTTAGCTTTGAAGGATAAGTAGGATTTGAAAAGACACAGGACTTGAGAGGAAATCTCAGGCATTGAGGAAAGTATGGCTATCAAAAATACAAGGCAGGGCCGGGGATTTAGCTCAGTGGTTCCACAGCGTGCCTCGCAAGCAGAAGGACCGGAGTTTGATCCCTGGTATCAAAAAAAAAAAAAAAATACAGGGCAGGCCGGGGATTTAGCTCAGTGATACCGCACCTGCCTTGCAAGTGCAAGGTGCTTCGTTCGATCCCTGGTACCAAATAAATAAATAAAATGCTACTTAAAAAAATACAAGGCATCTTCAGGAGATTCTGATTAGACTTATTTTTGCTTGATAGGGAGGGTTCATGGAGTGAGAAGATGAATGGGAAATGGAGGTTGAGGGGAAATTGGAAACAGGTGCTGGAGCATACTCACTTTGAGGCTGTGGAGTTTTAAGGAAAGTAAGGTACCAGATGAATTGGAGGAAGGGAGCAAATGAAGGCCTGGAACCAAAAAGGAAGCAGGACTTGATGAGATTAGACCAAATAATAGGTACGAACAAAGAATTATTTCTCCCTGGTGCTTGGAGACCGAATATATGTAAGGAGGAAGGAATCCAAGAAGATAAGGTGTTCAGCCTGAGCAATTAAGAAATTAGAGGAATATCTGTAATATTTATTGCCACAGTATAGGCAGTAAGGGGGGGTGGAATCTGGAATAGTTCAGGTAGTTCTTTTCATCTGCACATTAACAGTTAAATAGCGAGGTTCTCTAGGAGATAAGTACAAAGAAACATGAGTACTTGTCCTTGGGAGGTTGGAAGACAGGAACTACAATGCAAATATTGAGACTATAAATGCCATAAAATAGAAACAAAGTACTAAGGAGTGTTCAAAGGAGGAAAGTACCTTATTTAATTTGGGATTTCAGGGGAGATTCACGAATCTTGAAGGGTGAGTAGAAATTTAACCAATAGAATTGTTACAGTGGGAGATGCTTCCTGCAAAGGAGTGAAGGTAAAAGGTCATGGTCCGTGTTTGGGAACATTGATGGCCTAAGTAGACTGAAATATGGGTGAGATTAAGACTGAAGAGAAGGAGTATGCTATGAACGTGAAACCTCTTCAACATTGAATTGGTAGATACCAGGCATTCGCTTACAGTAATTGAGGGGAAGGAGGGAATGACCAACCACAAGCAAATAGGCAATATTGTGCTGACCTTGGTATGTTTTGGTATTAGAATGGAGAAATTGGAGCTAGAGAAGCCATGTGGGACTCTGGCCCTAATCCTGTTAAGAAGTGGAGAACCTGAATTAGGGTGGTAGAAAGTAATTGTGAGAGGTAGAGCAAAAAAAAAAAAAAGTTTCTGAATTTCAGAATGAATTGAGGAAGACGCTAAGACTTGTAAGGGAAAAGCTAACTGAAGGCATGATCATGGGCCATTCCAGTTCCTGCCTGGTCCTGAGTGTCCCAGGTCCCTTCTTGTTCACTCACCAGTCACTTCTCAGGGTTCTCCAGCACTTGTGTTGAAACCTCCTTGGAATATTCTGCTTTGTACTGTAATTATTTGCATAAAAGTCAAGCTCATGTTTATCAGCATTCTGTTCTCATCAGGCTTACAGAACACCTTGCAGAGTGTAGATACACAGAAAATGTTTAGGAAATCGAATAATTATAGTTGTAAGGGCTTTAGAGGTAAAACTGATCTGAAGTTGAAACCAACTATATTTACCCCAGCAAGGAAGGTGGGTTACAGAACAAGTCTGGAAGAATCTATGAGAAGGGGTAGTGTTGGTTTTTTTAGGAGCATGTTTGCGTTACATAATGAGTGTATTCATTGTGGGGAGTTGGTACTTGTTCATAACACATCTTAATTCTTTGTATGTCCCCTTCTTCCCTCTCCTCTTCCTATGTCTCTTCCCATTTGCAAAAGATCTGTCTCTCTGTTTTCTATTATCTTTTATTTTGTGCTTTATTTATAGTTTGGGTTTCTCATATAAAAGAAACCATGCAATATTTAAGCTTGTGTGTCTGATTTATTTCACTTAACATTATGGTCTCAAGGTACATCCATTTGCCTACATGAAGGTGATTTGCAGTAGAACATTTACCATTTTTAAATCTGTGGAGGAATGACTTAATTCCAAGCTTTCCTTTATGAGGAAAGTTCTTTTTTATTGTAGTGTTCATTATTTTTATTATAGCCCATTATTTTTAATAAGAATTTCTTTTTCATTAATGATACAAAAATGAGGTAGAAACAGTAATCCTGTAATAAATTTCAGATTAAAATAATAATAACCTTTGCGAATAAAAGCTTACATACAGTAGTCCCCACCCCTTATTCTTAAGGGATCTGTTTTGGGACATTCCATAGATGCCTGAAACCACAGACAGAACTATCCCCTATATTTCTTTTGTTGTTACATATACATAATTGATGATAAAGTTCACCTTATAAATTAGGCACAATAAGAGATTAACATTAATTAAAAATAAAATAGAACAGTTATAATGTACTGTAATCAGAGTTATTTAGAACTTAATGAGGAACTGGGTGAAGTGGTACTTGTCTGTAATCCCAGCACTCAGATAGCTAGGACAGGAGGATTGTGTTTGAATCCATGCTGGGCTACATATTGAATTCAAGGCCAGCCTGGACCACATAGCAAGATACTATCTCAAAAAAACAAACAGCTTCATAAATTTTTCCTGGAATTTTCCATTTAGTATTTTCAGGCCACAGTTGACTGCAGGTATCCAAAATAACAGAAAATGGGAACAGCAGATAGAGAGTTCTACTGCCTATCCTATAAGTAAAAAACAACTTTGTATAAAAATTACACACATGTACTATTTATTCTACCAGTATTTTGTATAATACAATAAAATATATAGTATTAAATTGTACAATTAAATTACTGTAAAATATTTTGTATTTAATGTTCATGATCCCTTTTCCATCAAAATTATTAATTTTTCTTAGGAAGAGCCATGCAATTAAAAATACTTCGCTAGAGGATAGGAATGTCACTGAGTGGCAGAGCGCTTGCCTGGCATGTACAAAGCCCTGGGTTTGCTCCCCAGCACTGCAAAAAATAAAAATAAAAATGCTTTGCTAGTTTAAAATTATTTAATTCACTCTGATAGAAGAATTGAGTGGTTTGTTTCTAAAACATCAACTCGATGCTTAGTTGTAATAGTTGGAAAGGTAAAAAGGGTGCTTCACAAAGATTTTTAAATTCAAATGTTATAATCGTGTTGTTAGTTCAGTTTAGTAACCAGTGAACCACTTTCCATGCTCAATATTTATCACTGAAATTCAGAGTACATTTTTATTTTTTATGAATTTGAATCACCAGCTCTTACAAACTAATGAGACAGTTGCTTCTTTTTTTTTAACAGGCTTAAGTTCTAGAGTTATTTGTTTGGAAGATTTGTAAATGTTAGAAAGTAGTTGCAGCTAGGCGTGGTGGTGCATGCCTATAATCCCAACACTTGGGAGGCTGAGGCAAGAAGGTTGCCATGAGTTCAAGGCCAGCCTAGGCTACATAGTGAGACCCTGTCTCCAGACAAAAAAGGACAGAAAGTAGTTGCAGGTTTTTAAAGAATATACATGTAAGGGTTTTTTCCAAAGGACATGGTATTTTTGGCAGTGAGAAGTACATAATGATGGAAATATTTCTTATGTCAGTTGTAATTGCTCTTTCTTCAGTTTTTGTTTTTTTGAAGCCAGCTGCTTTCTCACTCACTGGTGACTTTGTTTGTAGAGGGACATTGGTTTTGACCTCCTAATCTGGCTAAGACCTTGTTCTCAGTAGAAGCTTCAGCTCTGCCTCTTCGTTGGTGTCCACTTGTATTTACATCGTCAGTATTTCCTCTGATTGTCTCTGAAAGAGTCTTTAAAGCTGCTGGCCTCTTTTGAGAAGGTGAGTTTAGGTAAAGCTAGACAAAATAATCCACTGTTTCCCATAACTGGGCACAGCTAAGCCAGGGTACACATCTTAGCATTTGGATGTAAACATGGGGGTGGTGGGTGCTTGCGTGCTTCCCTCTGCGGATACCCTACATGACGGGTGAGAGTTCAGGATGTGGACCAGGTGAGGGTGTTAGTCTCGATTTGTAGGTTAGATACGGCTTAATTTCTCTCACTTTTTTTTTCTTGTTTTTTTTTTGGTACCGGGGATGGAACTCAGGACCTTACGCTTGCAAGGCAGGCGGCGGAACCACTGAGCTAAATCCCCGGCCCTCTCTCACTTTAACACACAGACATTAGGGCCGGGGATCTACCTCAGTGGTTTCGCTGCCTGCTGCGCAAGCGCGAGGACCTGAGTTTGATCCCCGGTACCAAAATAAATAAATAAATAAATAAATAAATAAAACACAGACATTTGAGATATATTCTTTCATTATCCCTGGAGGGTCATCTTGTACTTTGAAAAACACCTCTTCAGACTGCCCAAGACACCTATAAAAATAAGAAAACTAGGTAAATGATACATTAGCACGTCCTGGGGCTTAAAATTTGTCTTCAGTGTTGACTTCTTAGTCATCTGCTACTGAATGAATTGCCGAAGCCATCCACAGCTCTGTTACATCATGTCTAAAGTGGCGCTGACAGTTCTGCCTACCTGCTGGGGCTGTTTGGGCACAAAAGAAGATTGCATGTACTGCGCTTGGCCTGCCGTCTGGCGCCCTGCAAATATTCAAGCTCTCGCTGGGCTGAGCAGTGTAAGTACTGTGCATCACCTTGTAACCTGCTGTCCACCTGGAAGCAGGTTGCTCTGGCTCCCGGCAAACACCCTGAGGATGGAGGTTACCTGTTTGAGGTTTCTGTTTGCAGACCTTCATGCAGGAAGTGCCAAGGGATACACTGGAGCTCTGCTTGTTTTATTCCAAGGTGCTTTTAGTGCCTTGATGTGTAGCACTAGCAGCACCAGTCACTTTTTGTAAAGGTACTAATAATTTGTTTTACTACTTCAGGAATAGTACGGAAACAGGTGTAAAACGTCTAGCCAGAAAGGCCAGCACAGACCCCATTTGTATCACGCCAGTTCCCTGAGCCTAAAGGATGACTGCTGAGTCAAGGGAAGCCACGGGTCTGTCCCCCCAGGCCACACAGGAGAAGGACGGCATCGTAATAGTGAAGGTAGAAGAGGAGGATGAGGAAGACCACATGTGGGGGCAAGATTCTAGCCTGCAGGAGACACCGCCTCCCGACCCAGAGATATTCCGCCAGCGTTTCAGGCACTTCTGTTACCAGAACACTTTTGGGCCTCGAGAGGCACTGAGTCGGCTAAAGGAACTTTGTCATCAGTGGCTAAGACCAGAAGTAAACACCAAGGAGCAGATCCTGGAGCTGCTGGTGCTGGAGCAGTTCCTTTCCATTCTGCCCAAGGAGCTCCAAGTCTGGCTACAGGAGTACCGGCCCGATAGCGGAGAGGAGGCTGTGACCCTCCTGGAAGACTTGGAGCTTGATCTGTCGGGACAGCAGGTAAAAAGAGTTTACATGTGAGAAGGCACAGACTTTGGGGACAGGAGAAAAATCACTGATTTAGAGCTAGTATTAGGAATCCTTGTGGTTTTTCTGCCTGTTCTGGGGGGTGGGGTTGTGGTCACCACGGTGTAGACTTAGCATTTATTTACAAGGCCTCAGGTTCAATCCCCAGGAACCCCCCAACTCACCCCCCCAAAAAAGGGTCCTGACCTCCTCCGTCCGCTGGCAAATCTTTTAATATTTTAATTCCTGTTTTTAAAATGATTTATCTACAAACCTAGCCTGATTGTCCTCAGGTCCCAGGTCAAGTTCATGGGCCTGAGATGCTCGCCAGGGGAATGGTACCTCTGGATCCAGTTCAGGAGTCTTCAAGCTTTGACCTCCATCACGAGGCCACCCAGTCACATTTCAAGCATTCATCTCGGAAACCCCGCCTCTTGCGGTCCCGAGGTAAGAAGCAGGCTTCACGTGGGGAAAAGAAGTGAATTATCCAGGGTGGGAATGCTCTCTCCGTGTTGCTCAGTGCCTGAGATAAAAAAGCATGCTTGTTTTTGTTATTATGCATAACGGTCATTACTATTAATATTAGGTGAATGTAACAGCCCAATCTCAGGAGTTAAATGGTAATACCTTACTAAGGAGGTAAGTGAAGTGTGACTAATGAACTTGATAGACATTATTTATTGAACTGTTAGTGTTTCAGATGTTTAGTAGATTTCTGACAGGAGGTTGTGGAGAGCAGAGGATACTTGCAGCCTGGGTTTTGAAACACTGTAGTATGTCAAAGTTAAAAAAAAAAAAGTTACCTTTAAAAGCACTGTAGGGGCTGGGGATTTAGCTCAGTGGCACCATGCCTGCCTGGCAGGCACAAGGTCCTGAGTTCAATCCCTGGTGCCAAAAAATAAAATAAAATAAAAAAAAAAAGGACCATAAATCTTTTCTAAAGATTCTCATTTTATTTAAAATGTATAAAAATACTATTTAGTATTACTCTTTTCTAGGTTATTGTCAAAAATTTTTGTGTAAAGGAATGCAAAATAGTTTTTTTGGGGGGGGGTGCTTTTTTGTTGAGGAAATGAGAAAAATACCAATTTGGGGCATATAAATAAAAATCCATTTCATCAGTTTGGGGAAATACATATTTTTGTGAAAGTGGGTATGTAGAATGTCAGTAAAAACTATGAAATTTTGAAAATCCAGTTGTTCAGCCAGGCGTGGTGGTGCAGGCTTGTAATCCCAGCACTTGGGAGGCTAAAGCAAAGGATTGCCACAAGTTCAAGGCCAGCCTGGACCACATAGCGAGACCCTGTCTCAAAAAAGAAAAAGAAAAAGAAAATATAGTTGTTCAAAAAGAGTTGATCAAGGGCCGGGGATTTAGCTCAGTGGTTTCGCCGCCTGCTGCGCAAGCGCAAGGACCCGAGTTCGATCCCCAGTACCAAAAAAAAGAGTTGATCAAGGCAGGTTCCTTTACCAGCAGGTTTATTTGCAGTAACATTTAAGTTAGGAATATTAGATCATAGCACTTATGGGAGTATTCTCTCTCCTGTGCATCCTGGAGGACAACCTAGAGGTACACGCTGGAGACATCCATGCCAGCCCACACATTGACAGGACAGTGCTAAGACGCTACTTTGATGTCCTTTTGGGGCTTATAAGGTTTCTCTGTGATCTACAAGCACAAGTCACAGAGGATGACATTAAGAAATGGGATGTTAGGGCCCGGGATTTAGCTCAGTGGTTCCACCACCTGCCTTGCAAGAGCAAGGACTCAAGTTCCATCCCCGGTACCTAAAAAACAGAAATAGTGTGTTCATGATCTGTGCCCCAGAGTAGAGCTTTAGTTTGCCAGATAAATCGTTTTAGAGACCCTGTGCTTAGAGTTTTTACTTAGTAAATCCTTGAATGAATTGAGGCGTGTACATTTGTTCTCAATTTATTCTTTGTCTTGTTCATTTTCCAGTGTTTCCTGACTCTCAGGTTTAAGCGCTAGATACTTGATCTTTTTGTGCATTTTGTTTCAGCCCATCTTTTTTTTCTAACAATAGCAAAGTTTCACATTTATTAAAGATAGGGAAGACAGAAGGGTAAGGACAAAAACAATAGACTCTGCCCAGCAAGCTAGGGACAAGTAAAATGGGAGAGAAAAAAATGACACCCAAAAGCCTTGGTGCCAGACCTATGGCACATGTGTTGTTTGTCTTTTAATACAAAAGATGTTAATGTATGAATTGTTTTTTCTAAACTAAAACCTCAGTATTCACATTTAATTGCAGTGTTGGCACTTTGCAGTGAATAAGTGGGTTTGGGGTTACAGTTTGTGCACTTATCTCTAAAAGGTTCGCCATCACAGCTCTAAAGTGGAGAGTGGGCTGTGCTAAAGAGGCATGATAGCCTAGCCCATCTTATTGTACATGTGAAAATAGCAACAAGTTTTATAATTGAGTTTCAAATTCATTTCTCTTAATACCTTTGCACTCTGTACCATCATCTGTTTACTATAACACTTCCAAATCTAATGGTCTTTGGCAAGGGAAGAGAAGACGAGTGTTAATTTTAATTTTGCAGATTAAAAATTTTTTCAATTCTTCTTACATACTGCAGTTGATGCGATCCTATGATATGTTATGGATGTCTTGTATGTCAACCCATACCTCTGTACATTTGTAAATGTTTCATCAACATTTCGATCATGTATACATTTTATCAGAAAACTGCTTATTATGGCCAAGTGAGAGGGAGAAAAGTAGAGAAATAAAAATGCCAAAAACTAGCCAGGCATGTTATTCTAGCACTCTGGGAGACTGAAGCAAGAGGATTGCAAGTTTGAGCCCAGCCTGGGCAATTTACCAACTAATAAAGGGCTGGGAATGTAACTTAGTGAGGAGGCCCTGGGTTCAATCCTCAGTAATTAACCCCCCCACTCCCAAATGGCAAATACTTAGAGGTAAGAAGATCACCTTCCTATCCTGCCTTTCTGGGTTTCATGTAAAACATTGTAAAGCTGTGCTGCATTTTTCACAAGTGTAAGCAAAGATGAGTTCTAATATCCTTGTACTATCCTTAAGCTGGAGAAACATATGAGGCAGAAGTATGGGCTCATGTTGCCCATTCTGTTGCTGAGAATGAGGACCTGGGTTCTAGACCTGGCTCTGCCATTCCTAAGTGACATTAGACAAGTCCATTTAGCTTCTCAGGCCCACAAGGTCCCCTTTTATGAAGTAAAAGGGTTGGACCTCATGATTTTAAGGACCATTTTTGGCTCCTTGTGACTCTTGCTTAAGAGTAGAGATCTTAGGAAAAGAGTAGAGGTCCTGCTGTCTCTTGTCTGTGTCCTCTGGAGCTCTCTCCCCGGTAGTTAAACATGGAACAGTGAACGAGCCAGTGCAGGAAAGAGTACCCTGGGCCCATCTTTGAGGGACGCTCAGAGCAGACCCGATTTACTCACAGCTCCTTTCTCCTCCATCAGCTGTCCCTGCCACCCACGTTCCTGCCCCTCCTCATGAGGGGAATCCCAGAGACCAGGCGATGGCATCTGCCCTACTGACCGCAGATTCCCAGGTGAGCTGTACACCCTGTGCCCTCCTGAGTCCCCAGGTCTGCCTCCTCCTGGAGCTCCTGCTGAAGCATCCACCAGTCCACTCACTCTTGGTGCCCCACCCATAGAGGCCCATTCCCTCCCCAATGATCTTTCTACACTGACCCCTCAGTCCCCCAGGCTTGGTCACATCTTCCCCAGCATCCTGCAGCTGTGCAGGCAACGCTGTCCCTGACTCCAGGTTTGGGCAATGGGACTGTCCCTGAGTTTTAGGGGAACTGAGTGTGGGGACTCTCCTGTTATTTCAGGCAATGGTGAAGATCGAGGACATGGCCGTGTCCCTCATCCTGGAGGAATGGGGATGTCAGAACCTGGCTCGGAGGAATCTCAATAGGGACAGCAGGCAGGAGAATTATGGGAACATGTTTTCCCAGGGTAAGATGGACACAGGATTCTTGTCTGATTATTTTGCCTGTTAGCAGTGGGATCTCTGATGTATTCAATTGATAAGGATTTAAAGGCTACTGAACCCCTTTCTTCACAACAGAGAGGGAGAACATTTATGTTCACTGAACTGGGACTCCCTGATTTCTGATAAGGTTTTCGTTGTTGTTGTTGTGGGGTGTTTTGTTTTGTTTTCTCTACTTCTAGGTAGAGGTAGTTTTTACTCTTTGAAATCAGAAATAAATTGTTGTGCTCTGAGTGTCACCTCTTCAATTGCTTAGTTACCTGGGAGGATTTGGCTTCGATACTCATGCCATGTTTCATGTGGGTGAAAATCTTTGTCAGGAAAAAATCTTTTTCCTAGTAGAGATGTCCAGGCGAACTGACCATCTGTCTAATCCCAGCCTGTGGCCCAGGTGCCAAATTCCTAAGCCTACCAAGCATCCTTCTGTGGGTGTCTGACTTCTTCCATCCCCTGTCAGCCCTGCGCAGACTGCCTTGTGTGACCCCATGAACTTGTACCTGGACCTCCCTTAGGATCAGGTTCCCAGTTCACAAAACTAACAGTGATCTTCACAAAGAGCTCTGGGTCTTGAGTGTGTAGTAAGAATAAAGAAGTACAAGAGGCATCAGCCAGGTAAGGCAAGATGACCCAGCTGGCGACAATTTGTGTTGGTCTCTGTTAGATCCTAACTCCTAGGAGACAGTGCTGCCAAGAAGCCTGAAGATACATACAGTGACAGGGAAGTCCACAGGGGAGAACTGTGCACCTGGGGAGGGCAGTGGAAGGTGCTCAAAGAGTGAGTGAGCAAAGAGAATATTACTTCAGAAATTCAAGTTTGTTTGGAACCATACATATATGGTTCATAGGAGTTGCTCTTTATACTGCTAGATAGAAATTAAGCCAAAGAACTAACCTTTATGAGCTGATAACAACAACAAAAAATTAGAAACAGACTGGGAACTGTGCTAACAGTCAAGAGCCTTGGCTTAGAAATCAAATCAAGTGGACCAGTTTTCTCTTTCTCATAACTGGTTTAGTATTGTGATTTCATCACTAGTTGGGGGTTGTATATTTTTCAACCCCTCAAGTCATTACATTCAGAGACCTGTTAGGATCATGCAGGCCCTCTTGGAAAGATTTCTTAAGGCCAAAGAAATAACAGAACAGAGATACTTCAGGTTTTTTTCATAGACAAATATAAATAAATTGTATATGTCAATTTTCAGTCTTCAGTCAATTTTCAAATATAACAGTTTTCAGTCTTCACTTTAAAGTGACACACAGAATATAGCAGTGTATAATAAAAACTAAACTCCAGTATTTTAATGTAGTGCTAAATGAAGGGATTAGCTCTGTACTTGTAAACGTTGTTCTCTTATCTCCTTTGTGGGCTGTCTCCAAAGTGGTTTTGAGTTTCTTTTCTGTTATGTTCCGAGAATTCTCCTCTTGGTTGGTGGAGGGCTTTATTATGTGGCTGGTGGAGGGAAATTATTTCCTTTATCTGAAGGTCCCTGTAACCTACCTGGCTCAGAGCTGGTTGTTTTGCCTGTTAACCATCACCTTGTTGATAAAATATCAATAGAATGGAGGAGTATTTGCTTTTCTTTCTGAAACTATATTCCTGTCTTTCTAGTACCACTAACCATTTTCTAGCAAGGACCTGTCTATTGTCTGTTCTCTTTTTTAAAAGCTTATAAATACTTGCTGGAAACAGAACATGTCTTTTTAAATATACACTCTTTTAAATTAATTATTGGGTGATCAAATAACAGAATTAGGACCTCTGACATCCCTTAAACCCCTTCCTTAACTAGTCTCTTCCCTCCTGTCATTCTCCACCATGCCTGCTTACTTACATCCTCTCTCCACACACCCTCTTGTTGTTTCCTCTTTTCCACACTCTGCCTGCCCTCTCACTTTCCAACTCTGTTCCCTATTTTCTCAATTTTCCTTTGTTGTGCTCCTCTTTTATCTTCAGTTAATACTATGAAGTTATTTTGCAAGCATACAGACTCTCCTGGAAAATAGTGTCACTGTATTAACCTATATTTGCAAAAGGAAAAGTTGCTATTTGTATTCTCTGTTTATTATGTCAGGTCGTGAAAACAGGAGTGAGAACAAGGAGTCAACCTCAAAGGGTGAAGACACACAGGACTCAGGGTCCCATGGGGAGACGGCGGGAAGATGCCAGAAGGATTTGGGAGAGAAACGGGAACAGCCAGGCAGAGTAGTAGAAAGGCAACAGAGAAACCCCGAAGAGAAAACTGGAAAAGAGAAGAGAGAGTCAGGGCCAGCTACAGCCAAGGAGAAAAAACCTACTACAGGAGAGAGAGCTCCAAGGGAGAAGGGCAAAGGGTTGGGAAGAAGCTTCAGTCTGAGTTCAAACTTTAACAATACCCCTGAAGAGGTTCCAACAGGAGCAAAGTCTCACAAGTGTGATGAATGTGGAAAATGCTTCACAAGAAGCTCAAGCCTTATCCGCCATAAAATAATCCACACTGGAGAAAAGCCCTATGAATGTAGTGAGTGTGGGAAAGCCTTCAGTCTCAACTCAAACCTTGTCCTGCATCAGCGAATCCACACAGGGGAGAAGCCTCATGAATGTAACGAATGTGGCAAAGCCTTCAGTCACAGCTCAAATCTCATCCTGCACCAGCGCATCCACTCTGGAGAGAAGCCCTATGAATGTAATGAGTGCGGGAAGGCCTTCAGCCAGAGCTCAGACCTCACCAAGCATCAGCGAATCCACACGGGGGAGAAGCCCTATGAATGTAGCGAATGTGGAAAAGCTTTCAACCGAAACTCATACCTTATTTTGCATCGGAGGATTCACACTCGAGAGAAACCTTACAAGTGCACTAAGTGCGGCAAAGCCTTCACCCGGAGCTCAACCCTCACACTGCATCACAGAATCCATGCCAGAGAGCGAGCCTCAGAATACAGCCCCACCTCCCTGGATGCATTCGGAGCATTCCTGAAAGGTTGTGTGTAAAACAAGAATTTGTCATCAAGCCATTTCCCCCTTTTGTTTCTAAAATTATTTCAGAGATGTGTGCCCATGGAGGGGAAAAAAAAGGCCTCAACAGATTTTTTTAAAGTCATACTCAAGGATCCTTAGAGTTATATCAGCAGTGTTCTGCCCTTGGGCATGTAATTCTTCCATGCTGCCCCTGCAGGGAAAAAATGGTCATAGAAATAATCCACGTGATACTCCACACAAGATAAAAGCACACACACAGTAAAATATCAAGCTTTTCAGTCATGAGGATACTTTTAAGGCACTATTGGACTCACAGCAATCATGGCATGTAATTGAAAAATCAAGATTGCTCTGTGAATGTGACGCTTGAGGTTAAGAAGCCACTTCCTGCAAACAAGCCAGCATCTTGTTTATTTCTTGAAAAAGAAGGACAGTTCAAAACTAACCTGGGACGTGCTGCACCAGCTAGTTACATATCCCATAAGTTATGTGTATCTGATCACTGGTAGCCTACCAAAGCTATAGAAATCTAGGACTGTACTGATCAGTATCAAACCAAAGATTTCTATCTCTTCCCGAAAGAGAGGGTATGTGCACCAGGCTACAGTTCCAAAGGACTTCAGCAAATGTAGATGGTTCTAGCCTCATCACTGAGATCAGTTCTACTGAAATAGCAACAAGTCAAAACTCTTCTCCCCCTTCTTGAAGTTCCTGAAGCACTCTAGCGCTCCTAAAGGCATTTCTCCACAAATTAGCACTTGATTGTATACTGTCTTTTAATCTTTCATTGTTTTGTGTATGAAATTTTTTATCATCCCCCCCCAAAGAAAAGAGGTGTTTCTGTTGTCAAGGGAAGGTAGTTTATGTTCTACAGCACAGCACTGTACGTAGTGCTGAACATGTAAGAGCCACCCCTTATGACTGACTGCTAATAGGACTTTAATATTTATGAGAAAGCCTTGTGAATCATGAGTTCCTGAAATATAGTAGCCCAGCCCAACTTTGAAAGAGGACCTTCAAAGCCAGTAAGAGGAGGTATGCTAAAACCTCTGGGGCTTAATGCTATTTGTATCCTAAATATAAATAAAAGGAACTGGTTAGCCACTTGCATAGATTTTTCTAAACATGGATGAGGAATAAACATAACACTGTCAGAAATGACGCCATTATCATCATCTTAAGGAAGGTATGAACACTGACTAAGGTTATTTTTGGACATCTTTCCATTGCAAAGATATTAGCCAGACTTTGTTTTAGTCACCTGCTCAAGTGTGATGATGTGGGCACTTCCTGAATCATTTGTAACTTAGGTACCAGTAATGTAATGCAAAAGAGATGATTTTTACTGCTTTTCAGGAAAAGGAAAATTGTAGGGATGATGTTGCTCTGAGAAGTTCACCAGTGTGTTTGATTGTATCACAGTAAGTGCACAGTGTTTTTCTGTTTTTCTTTGCTCAAGACCAAGGTGAGGTTATGTAACTCTAATCTCTCCCATCATCTGTGCAGGAGAATGCAGGTGCCCCGCAGAAGCTGGTGAAGATGACTATTTCACACATACTGGAGACAACCAAGTGTCTCAAGCTCTGTAGGTATCAAGGACTTGGGGTGGAGATGGCTGTGTTCATGAGCGCATTCAGATTGCTGTGGTCAGCTCTTCAAAAGCCTAGTCTGACGCAAACCTGAACACTGTCAGTGTGACCGCCATGTAATGGGAATACCCCACATACAGTTTGAGATTTTCTCTCAAGAAACAGAACTAAAACCATCATTCATCAGTCATTCTGACTGACAAAGTCCATGAGACGTCATCGCTCATGAGGCCCCAGCTCCAGACCAAACTAGAATCCTACACAGCAGTCATTCTCTGGCCTCATTCCTTGGACCAACCACAACTTCCCCTATGGTAGTTTCTTCCATTTTTCCTGGAAAAGCCACATCGCAGGTTAGCCAGCTACCAGAATATTTCTATCCATCCAACTTAAGAGAAAAGAAATACTCCAGAAAAGTATACCTAATTAACTTTCTATAGTGAAATGGAGGTAGAAATGCTTTAAGAATTTTCCTGAATGAGCCACAGTGACAGTTGCTTTGAAAATTGCTGATACTTTTGAGAAGATCTTTGCCCACTAAAAAAACATGTAAAGGTGAAGTATACAGCTCTGGGCACTCATCCAAACTCTGACTTTGTTCCTAAAAAGGAAAGGACTTAAGTCAGTTCCACACTGGCTTTCTTTTTAAAAGGCACAACTACATGCTGTCATTTTTAGGGTTTGTTTTTAAATGAAATTAAATATGACCTGTGCCGTGACATTAGGTTACCATTTTACTGGGACATCTAACTGACTTTGTTGGATAGCCACTGGGGTTGCTTCAGATCTTCAGCAAATCTACTGCTGGAGGCAGGTATTTGAAGATGTGTTTTCTGAGGAAAACAGGCTACAACTAGTTATTAAAAGCATTTGCATTGCATTGATGCATCCAGTGCTCAATGCTGAGTGTCACTGGGCCGTGGTCAAAAACACCGGCAACGAGATAGTCATTCAAAAGTTGTGGCTGGCTTAAGTCTGTTAACAGTTTAAGTACTCTGTAGTTTAAATTAGCATGCTAGTTGACCTAATGGAACTTTTTGGAGTGTTTTTAAAAATATACCTTAACCTTGCCAGGAAGAGAAATAAAATTCTTCAGGCCATAAGGTACTTATTTCTAATCCAGCCTGGCAGGCAAGGCTAAATGTGAGAATATAGATGTGTGAGATATGTTGGTGTGTACAGCACTTAATACTAAAGGCATAAAAGTGAAACTGCTAAATGTGTGTAGAGATTGATGTGTTTGATATGTGGAACAGTTCACATCAGAGAATTTATTCCAGAAAAGAACCTCTTGAATGTGATAAATATGGCAAAGCCTTTAATCACATCTCAGCCCTTAGCATCAGAAAGCTTACACTGTAAATAAAGTGTATTAATATTATATGTGAAGAAAACTTTCATGTATAACACTCATTGCTTTAGACAGAAGTGAATTCCCTCAGTATGTTCCAGTCATTGGTGAATTTCAGAAACACTGCAGAGGAAGCTCAGTCCTAGCTCCAAAGGATCCACAGAAGAAAACAATGTAGGGAAATGCTAAAGAAATAGCAAAATGTACAACTTAATACAAAAACTGTTAATGTTGGGTACCTCTATATATTTTGTATGACCATAACGTTGGTGTGTTTTGTACCTTCAAAACCCATTATTCTGTATATTCCCTGAAAACAGATTATGTATTTTATTTTAATCTGTTTGACAGAACACATCACTTCAAAAGAGTGAAGTTTTGGAGTGAATAGCGAAGATAGTGATGTGGTGATAAACAAAAAGTTCACAGAACCGAGGGGAAAAATCAGAAGGAAAAAAAACATTCATTAGTTTGGTGCTTCTTGAATTGAGAGATCAATAAATTTGTGGAGACATGTTAACAGAGCACTAAAACAGAACAGCTTCCATAAACATCAGCTGCTCCTTGAGAGTTTTCTCTTCAATCCCTGGAAGTTGACCTCTGAGCTGCCAGGTCACCATTGAGAGCCAAAGGAATGAGTGGATTCTCTGGGCTTGCCAGGGGAAGAGGGTCCTCTCCAGGAATGGAGAGTTGGAGGTGCACTGGGATGCCCAGTGGGACCACCTGACCTGACCAGATTATGTCAGCCATCGTCCTGCTCCCCTGCTGACTCTTAATCTTTATGCTTGTAAGACAGGATAGGAAAACGCCAAGATGGGCTGTTTCCCAGGATAGAGAGCTGGACACATCCAATGTGATACTGCAAGAGAGTTGTCTGATGAGGCTGGAGAAGCTTCTTCCAAAATTGTGGCTGTGCTCTTGTGTACCTTCCCTGCTCCTGCGTTCTTTCCCAGTGGATGATTATTAGGAGAGAGTGTTTGTGAAGAGTCATAGCTGTGGAAGATTTTTTTGCAATCCTAAAGTGTAATGCTGGGCCACCTGTATTCCAGATAGGCATGCCGATCTACTTATCTGAAGCCAACTCACCAGGTTCATCCTGCCATCCTCATGGGAGACTGATGGTGTGAAGTGTAGCGGCAGTATTGAAATGTAATCAGTGGCAGTAACACTTGCCAGAGGAGCCCTGTTTTTGTGCATCCCTCTCTGAGCAATCTCAGAATTATTTGAGGGGGCTGGGGCTTCCATTAGGGAAACCAAATGAAGGTCTGCAGAGTAAGTGAAATATAAAATCAGAAAAGCAAATTGAGTGGTATAAATAGATCATTTCATAGGGGTTAGGGTAGATTTTTATTTCAGCTACTACTGGAGAATTTAATAAAAAGCATTATTGTTTAAAAAGTTTTCCTAATGTAGATTTAGGTTTTGATTTAGAAACACTACTGTACATTTAAAAGCAGTTACTTATTTTGCTATCTAGATTAATTTTTTATTATATCTGAAAATGAAATTATCTGTTTTCCTTTTCAAAGCTTTGTAAAACAAACTTGAAGTTATAAGGAGGTAAGCCATCTCCAGTTCTGCAGGTCAAACAAAAGTTGGGGAAATACTTTTGACATCCCATAAACAGAATGTCCTAACATAAGAACTTAATTTCATACTGTCTGGTTCTGTCGACGAGTGGGTGACACCAATCTCATGTCTTTCTCTGTTACCCGAAACAGTGGAAAGGAGAAAGGCATTAGGTGATTTCTAAACCACGGTCTGCTCTGACTTTAACACTTGTTTTTAATCTTAGTCTCCTGTCTCCATTTACTAAAAGAATCATGACTCACTTCAAATTACACATCCATCAGAAAGTTAATTGGTCCTTAAAATTTCTCCCTTCAGCAAGCACTCATTAAGCGGTGAGGCTCAGTGCTTGAAGAGACAAAGAATGAGATCTGTGTGAGTGAGTGAAAGAGGCGGTACTGAAACTTGGGTTTTGTTCCAGTTTCATATTTGGGTTTTAGGTTCCCTTGGTCCAGGAATGGGACCAGGCAGCTGCAGTTACCTTGAGTCAGCTTCAAGTT